CCCCAAAACCCCAAAACCCCAAAACCCCAAAACCCCTGCATATATAAGCCGCATTGGAAATAAAAGTTTACCATTATGCAATCAAAAGCCAAAATTTTATTAGCCAAAAAGAGGAAACTCTTACAAACAAAGAAGAGAAAGCAAGAGCTTTCTGATAATAAGAAGCAGGTAAGCTCTAGCTACAGACTTGGAAACTTAATGCTACTTTAAGAGGAAGGGAAATACCTCATGTTAATTGAAAACTTCTCCTCACATTTTACAGCTTCGCTCTGATTGGACAAAATTTTCCACAAAATGCATTTTTAGGAAAATTAAACACTTTCGACCATGAATCTAACTGATCATATAGAACATCTCTGCTTCTCAACAAGACAATGAATGGGAGTGGGAAGCCGAAGAAGAGGCTTCTCCTGCTAAGATCATCTTCAAGATCGAAGGAAAAGATGTCAGCGAACTTAACAAACCGAAGGAGAAAGGAAAAAAGAAGAAGGAACAAGTGGCATGGAAAACAGATCCATCCTTTCTTAAAGCAGATAAAAACTCTACCAAACCAAAACATGTCTCAATCACAGCTCCTCCTTCAAAGACTGGGAAGACTGCATTTGATATAAAATTTGGGAGAGCAAAACCGAGATTCGGCAATAGACGTCCATTCAACAACTTTGAACAGTCTAAAAACAACCAATCAGGGTTCTCCAAAGCCAAAATTGGTCGTAAAAATGCCACAAAACTAGGTGATCAATCCTCCTCTACAAAGAAGAGCCACAAATATGGGTGAAATCAGAAGAACTCTCATAACGAGGCCTGCTATACCAAAAGAAAGCCTGAAAAGTACGGCAGACACAAGCACAACCATGCTGGGCAAAGGGATTATCCTAAGAAATGTCATGCTCCTTTCCCATACAAAAAGAGGGATGATTTCTTTGGAAATTTCAGACAGAACAACAAGCACATCAAGGCCAAAGACCCTTCTACAAGTTCTCAAGCCACTCACAAGTTCTTCCCAAGAGGCCCTGCTAGCAAGATGGGCATGGTTAAGGATCACCATGAATTCCAGAGCCAGAGAAGCATCCCGGAAGATGTCAATACCGAAGCTTCTGAAACATCCGTTCATGAGAAGTTCAATTCCCATGAAAATTGGAGTAATTTCACCAGAAAAGGGCCTAAATTCACCGAGAAAGGGCAGAAGCACCAGCCTTGGATGAAAAGAGTGAAACCTTTGGGCAAGAATAAGCGAGAAGGAGGATAAGAGACGTCTTTTAATTTAAAGTATTGTTGATAATTGTTCAACAGTTAAAACCTTCCATGGGGTTTTGGGGTTTTGGGGTTTTGGGGTTTTGGGG